ATCAGGAGGGAATAATTATATAGTACCTAGGTACCTACTATAATATGACTCTGAAAACGATTTAATTTCAGATATAACAACGGTTAGATGAGGCTATTCAAATTAAATATCTATAATCTAAAACTGTTACGATTTTACTAAGAAATCAAATAAAAAATGTTTTTAACTTGTTCAGATTTTTTTAATCATGCCTATATTATAATATGCAGTTATTGGTAAATAGATACATCTATACACTAAAACAGCGTAATTATTGCATTTTAAAAATCTAAAAATACATAGGTACAGGCATGGTTTTTTTAGCTTTTGAAGTTGAAACTATTACAGATATTGGTCTTACTTAAATATTAAAATTTTCAGTAATTTTTAGATTCTGAGTGGAATAATGAATGTATTGATTTTACAATGATGTGTTTTTTTTCTTTTTTTCATTTTTCTTTTTTATTTTTGTGTCTGTGTACACAAACACAATAGTCAATAAGTAGTTAAAATAATGCTTCGGTTTTCAACTTCAGTATTTTGTTCGATTGGAAAGTGAATATCGTTTGTGCATCGAGGGAGTTAGAATTTAAAATTCTCAGTAATTACTAATTTTCAAAAGTGCCAAGAAAAACAAAAGAAAAATTAAGGAAAAACGGGAATTTTTACGCAAGATTGAGTTTGGTTTTTGGTGTAAGTTTAAAACAAATGACCGTAGATACATGAAATTTTCACTGGTTGTTTATATTTGCATTTTCTATACACGATAACATTTTCAAAATAATTTGATTCATTTTGAACTGTTTAAGGACATTTTCATTTTCCATTTTTTTTAGTTTTTTCTATATATAATATATTTGTTGGTTAAAAAAACTTGAAAATTTAATAGAAGGCTCATAGCATATTGTTTCAGAGGCAAATCAAAAATATTAAAAATCCTTAGTCACAGTTTTTTTTATAAGCATTTAAAGTTCAAAAATTGACAAAATATGGAAAAATCACGAAAATTAGCAAATAATTTTGAGTTAAGAATTTTCTTTTTAAATCTAAGATTTGAAAATGTAATACAAGATTACTCATAAGTTTGTCTACCGTTATATAAAAAAATCTCTACCGGAAAATCAAATTAAATTTTTATGAGCGTTTAAAGTTCATAATTTTACAATATTGGATATTCACTCGATTTCTCATATAGCGATTTCCTTATTTTGTTGTAATTCAAAAACGAATAACTGTAGATACATGAAAATTTCACTGAATGTTTATTTTATCAATTCTTATACTTGATAAAATTTTCAAAATATTTTGACTCGTTTTGAGCTGTTTACGGACAATTTCAAATTTCAATTTTTTCTTTTTTTTTTCTATGAATATCAATTATGTTTTATCTATTGGGCCAAAATAGTGTAAAAATTTAAAACAAGGCTCCTGATATATTGTTACAATAGCAGTTGAAAAATATTAAAAATACATATGCACAATTTTTTTTTATAAGCATTTAAAGATCGAATTTTGACAAAATTTATCAAATTTAAAATTGAATAATTATTTTGTAGTTAAAAATTTATAAAACAGTGGTTAATTTTGTAACCAAAAAATCTGAAAAATACACAAGCACAGTTTATTTTTATAGTTAATTTAAGTTCAAATTTGGATACAATTTCATATTAAAAAACCTAAAATAACTATTTTAGTTATTTTGTTGTGGTTGTATAATATTATTCGTGGGTACTTGAAACTTCTAAAGTGTACTATTATATATCTATGATAGTACCACTGTTTGTTGTTGATGTATAACGCGTTATAAGTACCTAATGGATATTGTGATATGATTAATTTGGAATTTATTATAGGTCAATTTTTTTTAATACCATGTATAGGTATGTATATAATATTTTTTAAACCAAGACTGACATACCGTCTCCGCTCAGAATTGTTTTTCTTATATAATGATATTATATCATTGAATTCAAATTTAATACCATCCATTATACAGTGACCAACTTGTAACCTACTGTACAGCAGAGCACCTTTTTTTTCTTGTTCCCAATTAGGTATTTTAGTACCAACTAGAATAAGTTCTATTTTAGTTCTATTCTTCATTCCACTCAGAATTTAAAATACACATTATCTAATCTCTAATGTCCATAGGTATCTACTAAATTGTATTTTACTCGTACATAATATTTTCATCATATTTTAACTTACCTATTTTATAATGACTTAATTTTTGTGTTATTTAACTATTTTAACTAGAACTACAGGTATTTTAAAATGTCAGCTGATATTACATTTCAATCAATAATTATATGTTTAATTAATCAGTTTATCAAATTATCATTAACGACATTATAATTGTTTTGTATAATTGTATTATATCGAAAAAAAATACTTCATCACTGGAATAATTCTCAGACCTTTTAGAGTTGTCGGATTTTATCGGATTTTTTTAACTAAAAGAAGAAGACTACCTAGTTCTTACAGGCCACATTGAACTCTGATTTTTTATTTTATTTCAAATAGTAGTATAATATTCTTTGTAAAAAAAGGTTTAAAATGTTATTATTTTTGAAGACATAATATACAGTTTGAGAATAAAATATTGAAAAATGGAGGTCAATGCAGCCTGTAGAATATTATCCTCTATTACAAAAAAAAAAAAAATTATCAAATAGGGTTGGTTCTACCCTCTACATATTAACAATATCATTATTTCCGTAGAGCGTATTTTTGTGAATAAAATTACATTAGCCTTGAATACCTTAAAATAATTTGAAAGAAAAGCTAACTTGTTAAATAGCTTGATATAATGATTCAAGTAAAATAATGAATAGGTATTCCTAATTTTAAATCTTTGTCTTAACAATTGATATATTAACAACTAACAAGTCACTGGTTTTAAAGATCTCAATTTATATTAGAGTTTTCAAACCAACTTTCAGTGAGGACGTATAAATTTGTATTTATCATCATTCATCACAATTTGTTTCGTTATGATAGAAAACGTAAATTTTGAATTAAATTCAAAACATTCCTACATTTATATCACCAATCTTTATACTGATATTTACCACTACCTATACTTTATATTGATGTGTAAAAAATCAATTTTGTACACAAAGAATTTATGCCATTATTATTATTATGTCATTATGTAATTGACAGAAAATTTGTCTGAAGGTAAAGGGCATTTTAATGTATTCTTTCGGATCAATAATACCTCAAAACCTATACGGCTATTCTAACCTTACTATTTTTCAGATATTTTGTTAATTATTGTATTTATCATTTATGTGATCATGCGATTTTGTGACTACCTATCGTCTAAGATGTGAACCGCTTGTGAGTTGTGTACTTGAGTCAGAGTTAATGATTGCATTTAAAAGATATTTCAACACATAAAGAATTTTTGAAAATGTATTTATCATTTATTATATAGTAAAACAACTAGTTATAATTATGTTAATAGTAATATGTATATGTAATATTATAATATATATATAATACACATATTAATTATATTATGCTAGATGATAATAATAATAATAATAATATAATAATAAATTGGTACTTGTAGACTTGTAGTAGCTATAATTAGTAATGGTATATAGTACGCGTAAGTTTCTTTGTAAAAATTCTAAAATTTTTTTTCTAGCTATTTAATAAAATTAATTACAACACCCAAAAAAAAAAAAAAACGTACAATAAATTAGAAATATAAATAGTAATAATAATAATAAAAAAAAATTATCAATAACAAAAACAATAATATATTAATATAAATATATAATATATATATACATACATATATATATATATATATTATATATAATAATGATAATAATAATCTCTATGTTTATTGACTACTCATATATATTTATATAGTAATAATATTCTATGTTGCTTTTGTTAAAAATTCAAATACAAATATTACGAAAAACATTAATAATTTATAAATAATATATTAGTATAGTTTCGATAATAATAACTTATCTTATAGTTAAATGTATTTATATTTTTGAAAAAAGTCACACACACACACATACACACAAAATGCTAATGATAATTATAATAAATAATAATAGTATATAATAATTTTACATCAAATAATGTGTAAAACTCGCGATTGTTTTAAATTTGGTCGAATTGTTTTAAATTGTTTATTCTAAACCTTCACATTATAATTAATATTGTGTTTTTACTTTTTTATGAACATTATATATATAAATTGATAGACACTGTTTAGTTGTAATATTGCAAACACACGCGTGCCGAACGTATTGTTTTTTTTCTTAATCCTATATACATTTATCAAATAGGTACGTTGTTGTAAAAAAAAATCCATTGGTAATTATAATTTAGTAATCTAACACACGCGTACACACACATAAGTACACATGCGAGTATACAAGTGCGTGTATAAACATAAACATCAATAGTAGAAATGACGCGATATTTAAAAAAAAAAGTCGATTTCTTTTAACTGTATCATTGTCTAACTACTTTATTATGTAGGTTAATACCTACTATACTATTAACTATACACGTGTGAATATAATATACTCGATCTGAAGTATTACTTCAATTTCTGTAAGTTATAGCGATTTGTCATATTCACAAAAATAAACGCATAATAGTATCTATCTAAAGATAAATGTGGAAATAGGAAGACAAATAGGAATGTGGAACACAGAGATAATAATGTTAATGTTACTTAAAGCTTTCATTAATAATTGCGCAATGTCACGGCCGATGAATGTTAACGTATTATATAGTGTACTTATAAGTTATAACTTATTATTATAGATAAAAAAAAAATAAAAATGGAAATTGAAATGAAAATGTAGGCCGGTTGCGATGATATAGGAGAAACAAATTTTAGAATGTATATTATTTCTATAAATATAAGACCGATTACACGACGATGACAATTTGTTGTACTTTTGTTATTAATTGTATTTTGTTAGTATTAAATATAGAAGTGATGGCAGAAATCGTTGCGGAATGTGTGTATATGCTCCTCAAACTGGAGGCTGCGACGATTGTTTTCCCGATCCAAACTTTCCTGTAGACGACGAAGAAGATTTTACTCGCAGTGGACTGACAGCCGTGTACGACGGTTTGTTGTTGGGCCTCCGCTTCAGTGACTCTCGGCGTACCGTGTACGACACAATTACCAGTACGGATACCAACAAAACGGCCAACACATTAACCACTACCGGTTCCTTGTTCAAGTGTAACTTTTGTTTGATCATCTCGGATAATGTCTGTTCACCGCCTCTGAAACACCCACGATACCAATATTATAGGTTTGAACAAAAATATTATAGATATACTTGTGGAACATTTTACGTATAGGTATATACATATAATATATTATAAAATGTGTACATTGATACAGAAGGGACTTCAGCTTAACCTGTATATTATACAATGTATATATGGGATACTAGTAAGAACACCATGCCGCAAATATGAGCTCTGTATACATATATATGTAGGTACCTAAATTGTACACATATATATATATACATATATATTCGGTTATAAATAAATAAAAGTGGTACTATATAGTTAAAGTTCCTTGGGAATTAACCTTCATGCCAAAAGTGTTTGAAAAACCATATAGAGAACCTCTAAATACTAAGAAATATAATATTTTATAGCCCTCTCTTTCATGTCTCAAGAAATATATTTTCGAATGAGTGTAAAAGTAGATGGATTCTACAGGTGGATTTGTTGTAATTTGAAACTGTACAAATATCTCATAATTCAAAAAGTAAAATACCAGTTACATTGTTGTATGTATAGTAAATTGCTGAGTTCGCTGACCAATTTAAAACGATAAAACGCGTTACTCTATTTTATCACCTAAGTATCTGCGCAGTAGAAAACTTAAATACATAGGTACATACAATAAACGGTAGGTATATTAAGAAAACTTTAGGTTGTATTTGACTAAACAACGGGGTTTTCTAAAGTTAAAAGTTCAAATATTTTAAATATAAGTATCTAATTTAAAGGTAATTATTTATGTTATTTTTTCCATACCTATTACAAATTCAATACCTTCTAATATATATCACATCTAATAAATTATAAATTACAATGTTAATATGCATGAACTTTATTTGGCACTTATGAGCAAAGGTTTTAGTATGCTAAAGGAAAATCCGGTGCATATAGCGAGTCCTCTTATTAAGTGCAAATTCAATAACCGATGATAACCGTAGGACGAAAGAAGATAGGTAAATATAGTATGATATAAAAGATTTCTAAGCGAACAGTAATGGCCAAATGGGTGTAAGGAGGGTATGGGTGATAAATCCTTCCATAAAAGTTTAATATAAATTATATTTTTATATTTTTAAGATAAAATAGTATTTCATGTTAAAAAATCAGCCCCCCCCCTTCTCGTGATAAAATCATTTGACCACCACAGCGAGCGAAGTAGCAAACATACATTTATTCCATGGTTAACAGAGCAAATCATCGTCAAAAAAAAAACAATTGAATATGCATTTATACCTATTGTATAAGCTTTAAATACTAAAATAATATGATTGATTAAATCGTACAAAATGTAAGTAGGTTTAATAGCATTCATTATATACATAGTATACTTTTATACTATGAAAGTATGACGTATAGTATAGAAGTATAGTATGGTTATAGTACAGTCAGTATAGGTACTATGTTAAAAGAAGGTGTATATGATTTTTGTGTGTGCAAATTTTCTTCGATAGTGCCATCACCACTATCACCAATATCACCAACGTCATCGTCACAATCGTCGACGCCACATCACCGACGCAAGCATAATATTATAGCGGCGTACTCATATATTATATATTTTACGGTATTGTAATTCAACATATAAATAACAATAGCAAACAGCAGACTTCCAAATTCATCCACCATTATTATACATTATTATATTATATTTTACGGAGTCGATCGTCTACCGTTACGCCGTTGTATTATTACCGCAACAGGTAGTTGTCTCAGACCATGTCCCGGTGGTTCTCTTGTAGTCTTCGTCGTTGTCGAAAGTCACTATCACCACATCTAAACGCTCGTTTCGTGGCATGTTGTGTTACGTCCGGTCTTCACCGTCGCTCACTGTTCGGGAGTTTCGGTGCTATACGTCGTCTGCACGTCGAGCTTTTCAATATTTGTAACGAATGAATAGTATTATAAAATATAAGTTAAATTTTGTATAGTGTGCTTTATAATATAATAGACCTTAGTGTACGATCTGTAATGTTATTGAGTGTGTCGACTGAATAATCAATATAATAATGTGATATTTATATTGTATAATAATATTTTGTTTATGTATAGGTATATTGTGGTGCGCGAGTGTCTGGTCGGTCGTTGGAACGTGGTCGTCGTGGTCGTCGTAAAACAATTTATAGTATTTTAATGATCACATCCGGCCATTGCGGCCGCCGTGATCGGATCCGTCCGCCGCAGCTGCCGAAGACGGCACCAGTTGGAACGATTGCCCACCATTTCGGCAATATCTTATTGTGGACGGCGACAACGACGACGAAGAATTTCTCCGGCAGGATTTCTTCTGCGACAACAGTGCGGCTGTGACAAACACCAGAGCCATCATCAACAGCACGCCTAGAATGTTGATAATAGCTTGTTGTGGCAACGCGCGACCGTGTAGTTCACCCGAATTTAAGAACGACGAAGACGACGACGGCGTCGGAAGCGGAGTCGTCTGATGTTGCAGATGCTGTTTTTGCTGTTGCTGTTGCCTGTATTGATATTTTTAGTACATAATATGTAAATAATTAATGTTGCTTATCATTTATTAATATATATTATTTATCATTCGTGGATACCCGCTATACGCCATATTATATTTATACATACAAATATACAATTTATATGTTATATAAGTGCCTTATTCTTATCCAGATAGTATAACTATCCAAATATTGTGGAAGTAGCCAGTAGGAAATTTCAAAAGCGTGGTTAACGCAACAAATGTATCCTGGTGAATTAGAATGAAATACCTAATAATTCTTTTACCCTAATTGAATATAAAAATATATTATGTATTATAAAATATCAAAACTATATAAATATTACCTAATTGAGTAATAAAATTATCTTTACTCAATCTCCTCAGCGACCAGAGTATCAGACATTGACTAATTATATTTTGGCGGAAAATAGGGACAAATTCTTAAACTAATGCTTGATATGTGTATATTATATAATATATATAAACACAAAATACCGTATACGGATAGTAGGAATTGTCTAGACGAAAAAACACGTATGAAATGTTAAAATCAATAGGTAGTCGTAGATTTATATACGAAATTATTTAGTATTATGACGGGAACGAAGTATACGAACCCATTATTATTGCTGAATATCGAGAAGTCGGCGCGTTGCTGAAGTCCGGTGAGACATGTAGCTATGGCCAGTGTGAACGTGCACAGTCCAAGGGTGGCGTGTATGGGCGTAAAACATCGTAAGCGACACACAGCCGTTGCACCGCGACAACACAACAGCACAACGAACGTGAACAATCCAAGGATGAGCTATAAAGAAAATCCAATTAAATATTAAACATCGTGTTTTCAATCGGTGCACGTCGCGAGTGAAATGTGAATCGAGTGTAGATAATAATATAGTAATAGTGTAGGTATATTATTATTATTTTATTATTACCTGAATTGCAAAAAGCATAAGAGTCAACAATCCCATCCAACTGTGTAACGAGTACATATGCGGTAAACCTTTCAAACGATGATATTCCATGGCGGCCACACCTCCAAACAATACACACGGTATGGTGCCCATATGCAAGAGTCCGTGTGTTAATTTCACATAACTACCCCTGCACGAAGTCGAACATCCAGCGGCCATTCTGTACACCAATATAGCTGCGTGCCAAAATGTAGAACAATTAATAAAAAATATTCATTAAATATTGAATGTGATTTCCAAAAAAAGGTCAATACCTACAATTGTTTTAATTCTGTAAGGTACAGTAGTGATCACATGATCACTATTTACAGTTTAATATTATGTGTCTCAAATCTATTCTAAATTATAATGTAATCGTGACGGTTTTATAATATATAATATTTATGTATCCTTTAACTTACAGAATCCGGTTAAAGTGACGAATCCGATCGTCATCAGAGTAGGGTGTAGGTTGAACCGCTGATCTTCGATCGAAACGTTTGAAGACGATATGTTTAACAGTGACGATTGTTGCTGTTCCACCGTGGTCGTTGAAATTGTCGTACTGATGTCGCTTCCGCCGGTAGTGATGTTTTGCGGGTGCTTATAAGTAAATACGCCGATGGATAACATTTGCAATGGGGTCTGCGGAGGCCAGGGAAACCAGTTGGGGTCGTATCCACCTCGGTAGGCCATGGTCCAGTAAACGGTGGTACCGGTGACAGCCACTAACAGAAATGAGCACGCTGTTACCAGTACTACGTATTCAAACGTAGTCCCACATCCCAAAGCCGTCTGCGGATTGTTTGTTCCGGAATCTTCTGCATCCGTCCCGGCTCCTGTGCCGCTACCGGAAGTATAACGTGATCTGCACATAAACATTGACAGTGCATTAGTATTTTTACAATTGCTATTTACTAAAATTTTTAACGGCACCTAGGTATAGATACTAAAAGACTATATAATATATGTATATATACTATATATATATATATACTGTATATATTTATCTTTATACCTATATACAAGTATGTATTAAATAATAGGTAGGTAGGTATTGTTAACGCTGTAATAAATGATAACTATATCGAATTCTCAAAACTGAATCCTTTGAAAACATAATTCTATACGATATTGTATGTTACAATTCGAATTTCATTGACACGCATAAAGTACAACAGAAGTACCATTTCATATCATTACATACTAATTATGGTAGATTTAAAATTTAAATAATTTGCGTATAACTCTAATTCCCTATTTTAATTTAAACTTTTAAATGGTGTAGTTTATATAACTATTCTAACTGATGTTAAAATGATATATCGCTTGCAATTATTTACGGGTGCAGATTTTAATGTAAAATAAATTTGTTCGACGTGTTTTAAATCATAATGTTGCTATTTTTGCACACACAATTTGATTCTTTCATTTATGCATACAATTAATCACATTTTAATTATACTAAGATTTTATTTCTATTTTTGTTTATTTTATTGTTGTCTGCTACTCCGATGTTCTATTCTTTTATATGCATAAAAAAATATAAAATTTTTATTTATATACTTCGAATTTTTTCAATATAACTTATTCCTAATCAATATTTCTATAGGTACCTATATAGATTTTTATTTTCATTTTTGTAACATTATCTAAATAACTTTTTAAAGTAACAGTATTTTTATATTTGCAAAAACATTATATAGCTGCATCTTATGATAAAATTATACACATACCTATTGATTAGGAATTGAGATCAAATGTAAAAATGCTTAAAATTGAATAGTTATATACATTTAATATCAATAATATCATACCTAGGTACGTAAAAATGTATTTCTAATTTAAATATAAGTAGATTATATACAATAGTTGTACCTATGCACAATGCACTGATTTATAAGTATACTCGTATGTAACATTAGGCATAAATGCATAATGCATGATTTTGTATAATATCATATTGTACTACTTGTAGACCACAACAACATTTGCAATTTGCATAACGAACTAAATAAATATTTTTAACAAAAAAAATATATTGCCAAGGTACGAATAATTCGTTGTCATAAAATATATTATGTGAATAATATATATTTGCCTTTGTGGCAACTAGCAAAGTGGACATTGGCCAAGAGCTCACGCTTTAACTAAGGGCGTTACATTTTTCTCGTAATTCACGACGGTGAAAATAAATTGAATTAATATTTAAGTTAAGGGACGCCGCAGTAAGGTTATATTACTTGGCTACTGCCAAGGGCGGCAAGCTCAACAACAGCTTATTGTTACGGTACAAAATAAACACGGCCGGAAGAAACCATTTTCTTCTACTTTTATTATACCTAGGAGTTGGTAGAGGCGGTATAAGCGATAAATATATTTATCGAGTCTATAAAGTTACGCAAGTTCAAACAAAACAAGTGCCCATACGCTGGGGCCTGGGACTATAAATTATAAGTCTCTTGGACCACAGTCTTGATTTTCAAACTTTTATTATTCAATATCCTAAGAGTTTTCCCCGTTTAAAATTTATTGAATTAACTGCATACCCTGAATTTTATTTCCAAATTCTAATATGTATTTGTTTTATAAATTGAATAAACGATTTAACGATGGCGCATATATGAATTCATTTCAAGATTAAATCAATAAATTATAAAAATATGTAAACAGGAAATCTTTATTAAATAAAAAACTTTATTGGGGCGTATTTTTGATGTCTACATTAATGAAACTAAAAAGAAAGATTGAATTCATTAGATTCTCTGCCATTATTGTTGTCTATTGAAGACGATCAAATATCATCATTATTCATTATTCATTAAGCTCTTTCAAAATGTAATGAAACATTTTTCGCTAATTAAAGTAAGAAAGAAGTTTTGTATCAAATACGGGTATGATTAATATATTGCACCTACATTAAACTTTATTCCAAAACTAATCCATTAGGTGCCAAAAGAGTTTTACTTATTTTTGTTTGTTAGGTATCGAAAAAATAATAATGATAAAAGAGACGGAGCAAGAGGGAGAGAGAGAGAGAGAGAGAGAAAGAGCGAATAAGAGACTGGGTTCTGACAAAAACACAATATACGTCCTGTATATATGTAATCCTAAGTCCACCGTTATTATGTTATAAATATTATTTTCAGATACGAGATACTCCCTGCAGATATATATATTTTTTTGATGGTTTAATAAAACATTGCAAATATACTTTGGTCGGTATATATACTTTTTTAATATAGGTATAAACTTGGTTTGATAATACAAAAATACAGTTTGTGTCATACTAGTATACTACTATTTTTTCATTGTAGTGCATAACCCCAGAACCCCACGTATTTTTATAAATTTGCTTTTGACCTCGTTTCCACAGTCAACTATTAAATCCTGAATATTTATTTTTGTATTCATAACGCGCAACATGGTTTTTTAGACCTTTCGGTTAAAAATGTCTAGTCCAAAGTGTGAATAAAATATTTTAATATACCTACCTACGATTATTTTGAAGTACCTATGTAGGTGGTATAGATGTTTGCATTAAAACATGCATAACTTAAACCCCTATTATATGAGAGGCCACGAATCCGTTAATAATTATTAATCTTGAAAAAAAAAATTAATTGTTTTAAAAATAAGCTTTTAGTTGATTTCTATCGTTATTATATATTTTATCCAAATATTAATTGAAATATTATTACATTTATTTTAACAATTGTGTCAACTATAGCTATATCGTCATGCTACGATTTTTTACGCTTTCTCCTTCATTAGGCGTTTTAACTTTTATTCGTATTATAGAATTATTTCTGTGTTTTTATTAGCTGTTATATTATTTCTTGTTGCTCTTATAAGTATATCTATATACATAATATATATACACATTATATGGATATTCTACGTGTAATTCGTTTTAGTCGTATTTTCGGCAACTCATCGTCGATCGGCTGTGGCACATTGTTCAGTGTGAACAGCACGTAAAACATGGTCGAAGGAAGATAAAAAAATACACATCGAAGGATTTTTTTTTCAATTGTTCACCATAAATTTTTTTTTGCGTTCTCAAGTCCTTTCGTTCCTTCCTAGCCTCTTGTCTGTCGGTTATGCATGCGCGATTATCGAGATCGCCATCCACCTCTACACCACCACCGTTCACCACCATCATAACTGCGATCACTTGACTGTCATCGCGTAATATCCTAGAGAAATCGGCGCGATACGCTCTTGTATTTTTTTTTTTTTTTTTATTATTAAAACCTATTATCGAAGAAACGCCGACGTGTTTTATATTAAAAAAAAGTAAAAAACAAATTAAAAAAAATACCGCGAGAGGATATCCTCGATCGTTCCCGTTACCGCGCAAGTAGCAATAATAACACAGGTCGTTAACACCACATTATACATTATAGAGGGAGGGGCGATATGGTGGCGGCGGCGGCATTGACGATCGATTGATTAAATTCACATAACGACACGACTTACCACACATAATATATAGATAGGCATTCTCCGTGAAAAGTATTAAGTTCTTCTGTGTATAGATATTAGGTATACAGTATGATTATAATATTGCAAGCCAGGATATTCATCGTCGAACATTCAAATCGATTATTTATTCTTATATAGTTATACTATTCTTAATCGTGTATATTTGTTCAGCCTTCAGCATGCGTATTATATTCAATTTTGATATAATAAATAAATATACTGTTATTATAAAAATTATAATATAATATCTTTATCTTCAATTTTTGTGTTTTTGAGAGTTAGAAAACTATATACACTCTTAAAACTAATTATAAATTTTAAATACATTTTTATAGTACAGATTATTTAGGTTTACATAATTAAATAGCAACCCATAATTAACACTAAATATTCTGAAAAAATAAATATTTTGATGTGTAAATGCTAATTGCTAAATATTGAACAAAGAACATTTTTATTTATAATTTTATAAGTGTTTACATTTTAATTGAGATTATCTGATAAAAGAGGGTTGTGAGTGTTTTGCGATTAAAATCATTCCGTGCTTTTTTTTATTATTATTCATTAACAAAATACATAACAATATATCATGAATATGTTTATATTTTTTAATGCTTAATTGGAGATCTGTATGATTTTAATAATTAATTTTTTAAATTGTATTTATAACGAGGTTGGTAATTTACCTAATAAGCGTTTTCGATTTAAATTTACTCAAGAGAGCGTGTGGTAAGTGTATCTACGTGAATTATTTAATCTTACAAACTACTATGATATAATACAATACATACAATTCCGTTCCCATAAATGCCCATGGCTTGAATAATAAATTATAAGCACTTGTACTTAGGTATTACTTATAATTAATTTAATGGTTATACTTAATAGGTATTAAATGTTTTATACATCGAAATATTATGGAAAATAATTTTTTTTTGCAATTATTAATTTTGCATAAAGTACTATTATGTCATATAAATGTTTAAGTACAAAAAGTATCGAACTATTATATAATTACATTATTATATAAGTACTGTCTTATTCAGCATTTTATTAAGCGACGATCAGTTTTTTTTAAAAATAATTTTGTAAAACAAACGATCGCTTATTGTGTATGATTAAGTGTACTATGGTTACTTGTGTAGGTATATTATATGACGATTTTATACCCAACAAGTGTATAAGGTGTTACAGCTATCATTAATACTACTGGATTGATTGATTGATTGCAAGTTCAATCGCATTCGTATATCACGTTTTATTTCGGATGTAGGTATACCTATTTTATATATACTTATATTATAGATATAAGTAAAAAAAAATACCTACCTATATAGTATATACCTTATATATAAGTATAAGTATGGTTTTTCATTTATATTTATGGCGGTTGCCGTACAAATACTATTTATGAGTATCTCGAATGGAGGACGTCTATCATATTGGACTTTGGAAAATAAAATATAATATCCCTGAACCGATTTCGAAAGGGTAACTATATTAATTTATCACACAAGTATTTTACTCTCAGCTTATTAATTCTAATGCAAACGGATAAATAGGAGTGGCTATATATTATTTTAGCTCAACAATAATAATATAAAGGTAATATTTTATATATGTGTACTGTGTAGGTACACAACCACAACGTATACTGTACCTATATTATGTTTTAAATTATAATAAATATTATTTGATGGTACAGTTCGATCTTCGATAGTAATTTATTCAAATGTAGTAATAAGATATAATATTATTGTACATGTATCGTTTATGTATGTTTTAACTCAGAAATATGATATTATTGCAAGCGTTTTCATACAGCAGCCGTATGCTATTATATAGTATATAGGTACTATGTACATAGCTAATATATTTGTATGTTATATTTTATTTCGTACATATACGATATAGGTAAGTAACCGCTACAACGTTAACAGCGTCCGCCATGCATCACGAATGACGGGAGACAGCAACGGTGTAAGCCACAACGTATGCATATGGTAATAGCTTTTGACAATAATAATCATTATAATTAATTAAAAACGAAATACTTTGTTCCACCGTGTATTTGCTAATACATTATACGTATAGCGAACTGCGGCGATCGCAAATTAATACGGCCTCGTTGTGTATTATTATTATTATTTATACATCGGCGGCAACGGGGCAAACTTTTAGCTGCGGAAGCAATGCTTGTAATATATAGTTAATACGACGGGAGGTATACATATACATTTGTATATAATACACGTACGCACATACACACACACACACACACACACACTACAAATTGACATCAATTAATGCTCTCACACGTACACATCATATTACAGACAAATGTGTATAGTACGTGCGGTCCCTCATCCAGCTCCCGGGTACGGATATTTGTAACGGCGGGTCGTATATATATATATATGGCGCGTATATTGTGTTTTATTATATTATATACAATTAAACGGTATGATGATATTATTAATAATCATATTATTACTATTATTATTATTATTATTATAACTATTACTTTACAATGTTACTGCCGACGACGTAGTTCTCACGCGTATAAAATACACACGTCGTCGCCGCCGTAGGATGAAAATGTGCAACGGTCTGTACAGTACATGATATATTATAATATTATTGTTTTATATGCGTTATAATATTTCATTCGCGCGTGCGTATTGAATTTCTCGTGTTTAAAAATTATTTCGAAAGTGTCTGGTTTGTACATAAGTATAGGTACCTATATAATATATATAGATATACATAGTATAATATATATAGATATACATAGTATAATATATATATATATATACGTACTGCAATGAACCACGCTTAGGGCGACTACCACCGGGGAAAACATACTACGATTACCCACTCTATTCATACGTATGTGTGTGCGTGTGTGTGTGCGTACGGCCCACCCTAAATTTACGCACATATACATTCATATATATTATATATATTATGACTATACGTGCGTATCTGTTTATGACTTTATGAGTAGGTATATGAATAATAATAATAATAAGCCGTAGTATACTAATAATATTATTAATTGAATTTCTTTACGATTATTGCTATTGTGCGTAAAAAAAGTATATAATGTGTATCATATATATATATTAAAGATTATAATATTGTATTTATGCTTGAAACTTACTTGAGATGATTTCCACTTCCCGAAGATTTCGATTTCGCCATTATATATTTTTTTCGATTCAGTTTTCTTGAATCGGCACACACGTGTGAATGGTACACGGAAAAGATACGTTAGGGTGCGTTTAAAAGTCGTTAGGTTTAGTACCTATAGTTATTACTTATTATGTATTTATGTGTGATAAATGTTTGTATTTTATAATGAATTGATAAATTTTATAATTTAATGATTTATTATATCCTACATTACGTACTCGCACCTCACGGGCGGAGGAGTATAATTAAGCAAACTAATTGTAGAATTGTTGTACATTTTAATAAGCACTTACAAAAAAAGAAAAAAGCCGAATGGTGTTAAAAAATATCTTAGACTTGAAAATAACTCTAACTAAAGTATTCAAAAATTAATACTTAATTGTTCCTATTCTATTGAAACGCACCTTATACTGAATACCTACGTATACGCGCACCGAGTTTAGTCAATTGAATATTATGTATTCAAAGACCGACGTTGGATAGACAACAGACAACTCTAGCAACAGACTCGCTGGCTACACAATATTGCCACCGCTACCACAGATGATCATCGTGTCGCCACACGCCTACCTATATATATATAAAATAAATGTAACAACAACATCCGCCGCCGTCACTTCCACCTCTACCTCCATCACTATTATAATAATTATAGTACCCGTCTCAACAATTTATATATATATATATATATTAAGTACTTGTTTTTTTCATATTATAATAAAGATACAATTTTTAATTAAAGTATCCAATCATTCGTAGGAGTGTTTGTACGTTATAATATATATTTCATACTATTGTGCTTGTGATATCGTGTTATGTATGAGTCGTTTTATAGTAAAAATGATTTATTACTATTTTTATTAATGAAACGCCAAGTTCGGATTAGAGGGAAACTTTGTTGGCTCTCTCGCAAATACCACTCCCCATAATCCATGACGCGCGCGCATAAGCACCCCGAAACTGCTATGAAAGATGTGACTATATAAACGACCTTATACTGGTAGATCAAAACCAATAACAATTCGCTTGAACGCACGAGCCCCTAAAAATACTGCAAGGGGTTAAATACGAATAGGAGGGCAGACATAATTCTCTCTTCAAAATTTCCACTACTATAAACATACATGATACCAACTACCAACACTAGTTTTACAGTCATACATTTCATTTTTCAATAGTTTTAATAATATCAAAAAATTGATTGGTTGTAAATACATTAATATAATATAATATACTTCAACCATACAGGCATATATATAAAGAAAATAATGATATAATAAATGTGCTCACTTCTCTTTGGATTTATTTTCTCCGTTTCCGGTTCCCGTTCCACCTCCGGCCAGAGAATCGTTCGGTCCGCTAGCGTTTTTCTTCGAGTCAGAAATCTGGCCACCGCCAGTAGCCGTGGCCGGCAGAATACCGGACATGGCCAGAACGGGCACCTGGTCATCGTCGTCGGCGGCCTCGTCGTTGTTGTCACCACCGTTGTCTTCTTCGTCCGCTTTGTCTTTGTTCGGTTTCTCTTCGTTTTCCGTCTCGTCGGGCGGCGGCAACAGCACAGAGCTGTCATCCGTCGCACCGCTATCGGCAGCGGTGTTGGCCGCCTGGTCATCGTCCATCATCATTGCGCCGTGTTGCTGACGATTGAGGTGGACAGGAGACACGGGCGACACGGTAGATCCAGTGCCACCGTCGTCGGCCGGCGTATTGGGGGTACCGGCCGCTGAAAGGGGCACCACGAAATCGTCGTCGGGTTGCGCGAGCGGCGCCGACGCCTCACCGTCGATGGGTGGTGGCAGGAAAGTGGTAGTGGTGCTATTGTTTTGGTTGTCCATCGAAACGCTCGGTATGGACGCCGTATGAATATTATAATATTATAGGCACTGGAAAGGCGCAGCGGTGTGTATTATGTACTACTATACCTATATTATACACGTGTATACTCACTTCGATCGTATAATATTAATAATATATATATATTGTATTTAAATTATATTTGAGATTTAAAATGGTTTGGTTACAGTTATATTGAGCACTAAGCGTTGCGTCGTGAGCAATAGTGTGCGTGTATATAACGCGCCGGTCGTCTCGGCCGATTATGACGATATCGTCGTGGATGCTGATGCAGACGCACTACCTACCACCCTCTGAAGCCGCTGTTCGCGCCGGTGTCGTACCGCCACCGCCAGTGCACCGGGGGAACGATGTATTTGTGGAACACGAGACGATTGCCCTCCTACGCCGCTGTTGCAGCCGACGGTAACTCATTTAGAGTCGATGGTACGCGGTACCGGATATTCCTCGCACGTGTAGTGTTGTGTAATGCGGACGGATAATAAATTTAAATATATATAAAAAAAGGTATATGTATAAGATAAGAGAAAACGTTCACGGTTTTTGCACACACAACCTGCACCCCGTCGTCGTGGTCGGCTGAAAACAATTATTGTGGTCTCACGCGAGACAACTGTTGTCCGTGTGTTTACACTCACCCCGCGCACACTCTTATAATATTATATATATATATTAAAAGGACAATTTCGCTAGACGTTATTCTATATATACTGCTGCACTACGGGTTTAACAGCAAAACTGTGATCAAAACACGTCGTGTATGATATATAGGTGGTATATAATATATATTATACGCGGCAAACGACGCGAGCGGACACAACCGGCGGACGGACGTTATGTCCGGGGACGCGGATACTACTGCCGCCGACGAGGTGCACGGCCGAGGTGGTCGTGGGAGCGCGGCGGTTGATGTGGACGAGGAAGCGCGGCCTCGTCGGTTGAGGTGGTGGTGGCGGTGTCGGTGTCGTAGTCGCCGCCGCCGCCGTCGTCGTAGTCGTCGTCGTCGTCGTCGCCGTAGTAGTTGGAAGCGGCAGGAGCAAGAGCAGGAGCAGCAGAACACAGGGTGGTGTACAGCAGCAGCAGCAGAAGCGCGGCGGCTGCGGCAGGAGGGTGGAGCCGGCAGTAATGTGTGCGCGGTGAGCGCGTAGTCGTCGACGGCGCGGGGCAACCCAGTTTTGTGGAGCGCGTGAGAATTTGGATCCGGGAGAACCAGACGCGCGGAGAAGCGCGGCTATTGACTCGGGCGGCGGCTGCGGATCTGGCGGCGGTAGGCAAAGCTGGCGGTGGAGGGGGTGGGAGTCGTGTGGCTGTGGCGGTGGCGCGAGCGTCGGTGGGGTAGGATTTTGGTGGGTGCGAACGGCGTGCGGAGTGGCATTTTATACATTATATACGGCGAGGGGTGCGTGTATCGTGCGCGTCGCAGTCGTCCCGGGCTGCTGTGGAAGCTGTGCTGTTTCCGCTCGCCGCCGCCGCCGGAATCGATGATCCCTGCTAGGATACGCGCGCAGCTGTAACGAGCGTGCGTGCGTGCGTGTGCCGCCGCCCATGAGCGCGCGTATATATAAACGCGATATAGATATATACTTTTTCGGTTCCACCCTACAGCGGTGGCGGCGGCGGCGGTGTTCCACCGAGGTTCGTCGTTGTCGGCGCAGGACGCCTCCGCCGCCGCGCTAACTCGCAGATACAGCAATCGGCTAGCTACCGGCATAATAATATCTCCCTGACTCGCCCAAGACCATCATTTCCCGCCGCTGACCCACCACTTCACCCGCCAGAGCCATGTGTATGTTTGTGTGTGTGTTTTTGTTTGTGGGAGATCCTTTTTTCGGTGACCCTCGCAAATCGTTGTTAAACAATCACTCCCCCGCCCTTGCACCGTGAACAGAGCCGCGCACCATATTATGGTATTATTATTATATTATGTACACACACACAATATCATTATTATAATATTATTTTGTTACCGTGACAGAAGGGCCCGTATATAACTACAATAATGGTCGTCGGTACCAGTTATTATTTTTTTGAGCAATAAAAAATATGAGATTAACTGAGATTTGTTTTAGGAAAAAACGATGCTTGTTAGATTTTCTGTTTCGTCATTATAGAATCTATAATATAGATGTATTGTATATAATAATTATAATAAAATAGTGATTAGTAATTCAAATAGTCATAATAATGAATTGTAAAAAACAAAATATTAGGAAAAGTAACGCTGCGAGAGTACCAAATTCCCGGTTTCTAAACGTAATTTAATACAACGCAATAAACTATAGTTGTAGTATGTACAATATATTATGTACTGTAACTATACTGACAATATATAAATAATATTTATTATAAAGATATTATTATCTTAATATCAACAATCGTACCGTACTGGTAACTAATGGATAGACAGATACACAACGGGGATGTATAAGGTGTTCTAAACTTATGTTTAGAAACCTAAAAATAAATCCACAGCAACCAATTTAACTTTATGTATATCCTCGTAATATATAAATTGAACATAATAATAATAATTTAACATTACTTGTAGATGACCGTGACTTTTATTGGTATACCTAAAACAAGGGCTAGGATTTATATGCATTGGTATTTGTTTTTTGGCAGAGTCCTTTTACAATTTTGAATATTTTAACTATAGGTACCTAGCTTTGCATATTTGAAATATAAACACACAAAATGCATTATCCATTGTAAGTACCTATATTTAAACAGAAATAGTGCAAAAGACTATTACGCTCATAGTTTAAGTTTAATAAAACCAGTGATTTTATCTTCGACAAAAAAATTTTAAAATGGTGTGGATTTATTTAAAAGTTAGAGCAGCATAAATAATTCAGCTTATATAATAAGTAAATTAATTAAATTTGTTTTACAATTATAAGATTCTGTTTGGATTGGAAAATATTCCTTGTTTAGTTATTTCATTATATTTGAATATTTTAATATTACATATATATAAAATCTAGTCCTACTTTTAAGCTATAATAGGTATTGAGACTATAATATAAATAAACATATATATATATATATATAATATATATATATATATATATTATATATATATATATATTAACACACACATACACATGTAGGTATGTGATATGTATAATATGTGTAATTAAAATAGAATAATATAATAGGTATGCGCAAAAATGCATAATATATTTAATCATAATATATTTTGTCTTACTATATAAATGTGTACCTACATGAAGACAGAATACTACATTAAACGACACAACAGTCAATATTTGACGGCTATTTTAAAAGATCCACTACGTCTACCAAGGTACAAAAATAAAAGTATCCCTAAAAAAAAAATAACTAAAAAAAACTGAACGTCCGCAATTAATTATTTGTGTACACACCGCAATGCAATGATTAACGAACAGTAATTCACTTTAGGCGTGGCCAAACATTTTACGCCGGGATACCGGACTTAAATGTTTACTGTTTATTCAAGTCGAGTATATACGCGACAGCCAACGGGTCTAATACTATACAAGTGGTATTTATCTAAAAACTACAGTCCAGTACAAAATTACACGGACCTATAAATGAGTCAAAACTGAAACCAGTACATTCACGGTGTATAGTCAATAGTGTATACACATTACATATATTGCACAGCTTTTATAATATTAGGATAATCTGATAATGCAAATTACAGTATAATGTTCTAAGTTCTTATTGTACGGCATGTGTGGCTTAATAAATTAAAACAGTACCTAATAGCAACAACCCTTAATTTTTTTTTTCAAAATTTCGCAAGGCTATTAATTCACCCTTACTTTTAGTCTTACCCAGGTCTACACACAGGAAAAAATTATTTCTCATAATTTATAATATATAGATACCGTTTGTATTTTTTTTACAAATATCCGTTTTAGTTATTGTCACAGTCATATTACATTCTAGATAGATACATTTTAGATATTTAGTTATGGGACAAAATTATTTTTTAAATGCACTAAAATAGTACCTAAATACAATTATAATCTGAATAATATGATATTATATTACAATCATAAATTAATAACAAACTAATCTTTATTATAGCCTAGGTAATGTACTTTTATTATCAAAATAATATATTATAGGTACCTATAGTGTCTTACTCAAAACTCCAAATTGGAAAACTTAATTGAAGACTGCACTATTAATTATTATAACTTTGAAGAGTTGATCTGCATCAAAGTTCAAATTCGTTAATGTTTACTCAGATTAATTACCCATCGGCTATCACATATTTCATAAGAAATGCCAATAAACTATAAAGCCATCATTAAAAAGGTTAAGCATTAAAATTATATTTATTTATTTCTTACTTCCTTTTAGATTCTTAGTGGAGCAATGAAAGTATTTGTTTCACAAAGTAATGTGTTTTTTTTAATTAAATATTTTTTTGTAAGTCATTTGCATGTTTGGGAGGAGTAATAATATCTTCAACTTTGAGGGTGGTTTCTAGTACAGTAGTACCTATCAAATTGCATCTAGTTAGTACCAAAGAAGGATCAAAAGTAAAAATACCATTTACTTTTAAATTGCTTTATCTAAACACTGTTAATTTTTTAAATAATTTTGTGCTATTTATAAACAAATGTTATATTTTTTAGTTTTTTTCGGATGTTTGTCTACAACAAATTTTGGGTATTTAAAATTGTTAAATAGTACCTATAGTTTTTTTCTAAAATGTAAATAAAAATATCCATTTTTCAATTAACAAGATCGAAATGTAATAAGTACATGGTTAATTTTAAAAATATCCTATACGAATATGTAAAGTTAGCTGTTTGAAGTTAAAATATTAAAAATTAAATATTTAAACGAAAAACAATGATTTAGTTATTTTGTTGTAATAATTTATTCAAAAAATATTAACTGTAGTATTTTGAAACTTTTGTCATACGCCATATTATTAGGTACTTCTATACGCATAATGGGATTCTCAAAATATTTAGAT